AACTCAATGACAAAAGTTAATTTATAAAACCAACTTCTTAATCAAATAATTTTTAAACTATGAGCAAATTTTCATTGTCAACTTAATTCCAATAAAATACTGTATAAGTTAGAACTTTTAATTCTGGAAGCTACAGTTTTGAATATAGAAGGAGATAGGTGTTGGTATTTACATTTTCAATATTCTTTTCTATAATATTATTTTATATTCCATAGGGTGCCTCTTAAACTACAAAGTATTATTGACATGCCCTGTTCAAAGAGGCATAGAGTTCTAATGTCATATTTTGTCTATGAATATTTATTATATTTGAACTGCTTACCTAGTTCCTGTTTTTAAACTTATTTTTTTTAGTTCTGAGGTATGAATTATTTACATTTTCAAAACATTCAAATATTTTATAGTCTTGCTTCTTTGACCACTAAAGAGCTTTTTATATTTTCTTTATTCATTTAACAATTTTTATTTTATCAATCATTTGCAGAATTACCTTGTAAAAAATTTAGTCTGAAAATAAACTTAGAAATATTTTGACATATAAAATGCTTTGAAACTTATGTTTCCAAACAGTCTCTAAAATTTGGCAATATATATTACAGGTACTGTCTCTTCTAAATACCTATGAAATATATTTCTGTCTACTAGACTGTAGAGTGACTGGCCACCTAATCACCGTGGCTGTTAGCTAACAAATTAGGCATTGATGACTGATCTAGACAACATGCATGCCCACAAACATTGTGTATGTGTGCATTGCATTCTTATAGGGTTGTGCTGGAAAAAAAATCTTGGTATTTAACCTCCTTGATACAAAAGAGTAGCAAAGAATTTTCATTTGCTTTCACTGCTTATCATTTGCTATAGTTTATTTTGAACCTTAATATATAATTCATGATTTTCATGTACTTCATTCTCAACTTCTTATACTACTTTGATTTCTATTTAGCTGATCAATCAAAGTGCTCCAAATTACAAATGGAAAGATTGATCCATTCTTCTAAGTACAAAGATTGGATTATATATTTTTCTCTAAGTTGGGAAATTAATAAAATAAGAAGTAAACATTTGAACGTGTAGTATAGATAATGCCTCTGAACTTAATGTGTAGAAAGAGACATAATGACGTATGTCCTGCTGCTAGGTATGTCTTAGAAATATTAATTCTGAGAGGAAAAGTTAATATTCATTCATATTAAGTTAATATTAAGTTAATGTTAAGGTAAGTATAATTTTTTTCCAGGGAAAATATTAAATATGTAATTTTTGTATCCCAGTCATAATTCTTCCAACTCAATAAGGCAGCAGCTGGATATATTTAACACACAAATTTATTGCACAAAGCATTTAATATCATGGTTATGCATCTTAGATCCTGAGCCAGAATACATGTATGTTACTTCTAAAGCTGTATCTCACATCTTAAATATTTGCTTACTTATCAATATTACCATCTTTCTCTTAAATACTATCTTAGTACTACACAACCACAATGTCTTCTCCAAGTGTTTGGATTTTTCTACTTGATACAGTGAATTAATGATAAGGATGTATTTATTTGAACAGAAAAATATGTAGTACTTGATTTACTAATGGTAAACTTTAAAATATCTCTTCAAAATATGTTTGTCTGTACCTTTTATAAATATGTAATATTCATTACAAATATGTAATAAAATCACACACATTATTGAATCATATGTGGAGATCTAAAACTTGGCTGTTAACACATCTTTTGATTAGTTCCATTTATCTCAAAGCTCTGAATTTAGTGTAAGGTATTTATTTTAGCAATTTCAGTAAATGAGTTCAAACATAGTTATTGTTCTCATCATATAGACAATTGCAAGGCATTTTCTCAAGCCCCTGCTTTGAGAGTGAAATGAACTCACAGCAGCCACTGTTAGTTAACAGTATTCCCTCAACTTCAGTTCATATACCACCTTCATAATTTTTGACAGCCAGACCTCTACCAGTACTATTTGAATTTTTTTAAATAAAATCACATATAAAATCATTTTTTCCCTGAAACTTTACTATAAATATATAGCATTAAAACTATTTTACCATTCCTCCATGCACTGCCAGTAATTTCACCTTAGGGGAAGCTCTGACTTGGTAGATTGGAAATTTGTATACTTCTCAATATCCCTTCCTACTTTGGGAGTGGCTAACAGTAGAAGTCTTGATTGGTGTGCAGATTGCTATGCCAGATGCAAGATGTATGCTTTCTCTTAAAAGATTAACTATGAGATGTGAACAAATTTCAAGGAAGCATATAAAATAAAATAAACTATAGAGTAAAATTTAAAAAAACTATACTTCTTTATGCCTACATTTAAATATTTATAATCTTTTTTCTTAAGTAGTAAGCATTTAGCCCAATAATTTCTCCCTTTGCTTTCTGGAACACTTTGAAATTACTCCACTAAGTATGGCAGTCTATTCTTTGCCTATCATTATGAAAAATTTATTTCAAGATTTCAACTCTTATAATTTATGTAAAAATTTGCTGCCCTGTTCTTTTGCCCCTGTAATATATGTTTTCTTCTCATTGTGTTTTTTTTTATACCTATCTAATAATACCTGGAAACATAATAACAAAACTCATGCAATTGTTGAGTTTTCTATTTTAAAATTTTGAATTTTTTTAAAAGTTTTTTTAACCCTTGGTGTTGCAGGGGTTAAAGTCTCAGTGCTATTAAGCTATGCCAGCCATTGTGGCCTTACTGATCACTGCCAGGAAACTGACCTACATATGGTACAGCAGGTCTCTGCTATCTTGCCTGTTGTTCCCCTCAGCAGCGCATCTCTGGCCTACACCCCAGTTCTTATATGCATAAGTAAATAAAAGTAAATCCTTAAAAATAATTTAAATACATGATTGACAAATCTGTCTTTATCCTCTTTTCCTCCTTTCTTTTAATTTATTCAATTAAACCCTTCTAGTTCACAAAGGCATGTTCTCTGGCTTCATTAATTCTAAAAATGAGCAGAAATTATCAATGTTATGCTACGTATATAACGACAAATAATAATAAATATAAAAATTATTTTTTAAAAGATTTTAAATTCTTTAAGAATAGTCTCTAGGAATACACTTATATACTGGTTATTTCCTGGAAGTACACCTCTTAGATGTCAGGTACCTAAATGTGCTGAGAGGAAAAGCTACATAAATAACATTTTGTATTTTACAATAACTTACATTACAATATTTTGCCCTCCTTCAGGAGCATTAATGATATCTTTCATTTTAGCATTGTTTGATCCATTTACTCTCAACTACAAGAGACTTACAGACTGGTCTTTTTGCAAAGATTGGTTGATGCTGATTGTACTTAAATTATACAGTGTCTTTACTTTTTTACTTTTAAATATTCTGATTTAGTAGTTAGTCATTGTAGTCTGTATTTAACTCTTCACTTATAAACTGAAGAAAATTAGTTCCTCTTGTCTTGAAACAGTACAAGCTGTAGTACAAAAAAGAAAGCCTTTAGAATCAATACGGTAAAAGATTCAAATATTAGCTCTGGCACACACTGTGTGACCAGCTAAATCATGTGACCCTTAGTTTACTTATAAATGGGGGTGTTAATAATTGCTACCATTTATTGTGTACTGCCTTTATTATACACAGTATTAAGATTTTATATACAATTATTAACTACTTAATCATCACAAAAAGACTGTCTGTTGTTATCACCATTTTAGAGATAAGGAAACAAGAGGTCCTACAACTCATTCTAGCTCACTAGGCTCAGACTAGAAGCAGAGCTAGACATTAAATCCAAACCTGCTTCATCTGTGCTCTATACTCTGTCTTGTATGTACTGCATACACTGTACACATAGGCTCTACACAACGCTACGCTCTGTACTCACTACTCTGTTATATGTATTTTGTACTACATACTCTACTCTGCTCTATACTCTGTTTTATGCTCTACTCTATGCTGTACTCTACACTTGGCACTTAATGTGCTGTCCACTCTGCTCTGTGTTTTATACTTTATACTCTGTGCTCTATACTGTATGAGCATGTCTTCTTATGACAGGGATGCTTTCTGAGGAAGATGTCATTACCTAATTTTGTTATTGTGCAAATATCAGAGAAGTTCTACACAGACGTAGGCAATATAGTTTACTGCACATTTACACTGTGGGCTACATGGTAGATGGTCTATTGGGACCACTGTTTAAGCAGGTTGTTCACTGAAACATTATTAAGAGACATACAGCTATATGCTCTACTCTATACTCTGTGCTCTATGTTCTATAGCCTGTACACTACTCTTTACTATGTAATCTGTACTCTGTATGTTATATATTCTGCACACTATACTCTGGTCTACACTATATACTTTATACTGTGCACTACCATATTTCTGCCATTTGTTGTACTGTCTTCCCCTCCAGCTTTGAGCTCTGAATAATCTAAATCAGCTTTATCAAAGGGTATATATACACACCCTTCTTCAAGATTCTTTATGTTGTTCATGTAAAATGTTTACATGAATATAGAGTATAAGCTATTTTTAAATCAAACCATTTTCATATCTTAAAGCCACAAACCTAGTGGTAAATTTTTATGCATGCCATCATTTCTCTCCATCAGTCACTAACTCTTTAAAGACAATAAAGTAAAACAAGCCTCTCTAGACCTTAAGTTTCCTCATCTGGAAAATAAAGAACTTAGAGTTAGTTATCTGTAGGATTTCTCCTGGTTTTAAATTCTAATCTACAAAGTGTAAACATATATTTAGTTATCTAAAATTTTAGTTGAACCTAAAGTCAATATCAAATAGAAATGCTTTATATACATAGGCAACATAGGCATTATGTATCAAATCTCTGTGTTGTATTTACCTAGCCTGGAAATACTGTGTCACCTAATGTGTGTTTCCACACATCAGGAAAAAGTACTTGGAAAAGTGCATTTGATCTAGTGGTTACCTTTCTTGGCCTATAAAAAAAGGTAAGTTTTTGCCTCTCTTTTATCAGATGTTACTACTACTCCTGGATCTCCAAAGAAGGCTGTAGAATCATCAGTGATAAATGGAGGTTTAACATCACAAACAAAAGAAAATGGGTTAAGTGCAGAACAGGTACCGGTACAGCGAAAGAAACTCCTCAAAGCCCCAACTCTGGCTGAACTGGACAGCTCTGACTCTGAGGTGAGGTCTCATTTCTCAAATTTAGTTGCCAGCTTCAGGATGCCAGTGCTTCCTGACCCAGTTTAGTGATCAATCGCATTGCTTCAGCTATTGCTTAAGAACTCAAGTTGTAAAATGAGCAAACTGATTATTTTCCTTTTAGATTTACCCAGGAGCTTTGTGTATTTAAATGGTTAAATACAAATTAAGTAATAAGCATTAATTGCAAGCCCGAATTGCTCTCTTTTGAAAGTTTCTAGTTGTTAAACTTAATAGTTACCTAGAAACTTCATACAATTTAGACTTTAGAAATTGGTTCATGATCTGCCCTTTTGCTGGAAATGGCAGAAAAACTCTTACCAGATGTAAAAAAAGAAACTGGAACTAACCCATGTAAATAAATTTTTTTAAATCCTGTTTTCCAACCAGATGCCTTACGTCTTATGTGGTATTTCATCACCATATTTTATTTAATATATCCCCTTTTTTTGAACATTTATGTTATTTCCACTTTCCTCTCATTATAAGAAATAATACTGTTGTCACCCTCCAGGTTTAAAATGATCTAAATATAGATTAATTTTGTCAATTTATCTCTCCGACATGATTGGTCCACACCTGCCACACAATCTAGTACAGTCCAAACAAATTCTTGCCTGCATCTGTTGTCCACGAACAGCATCACAGTGCTGCCCTTTAACTCCTTGAGTTGTTGTCTTCCCTGAAGTTCTTCCTTTGATTGTATGATCTTCCAGTTTCATCAATGAATAAATATCCTTGCACAAGAAAAAAATAATTAAAATACTGTTGTAAATATCCTATGACACATTTTTGTTTTGAATTGTTCCTCAGATTACTTCTAGAAGTATATTTTCTTGATGAAAGAACGTTCGCTCTTAAAACTCTTGAAACATGTTGCCACAAAAGCTACAATACCTACTTTTTACAGAATGCTATGCTATACTTTATGTATTACAAATTTAATTACCATTACATACACCCTTGAAGATACCTATGAACCTTATGAGGAAACATATACAGAAGGCTCACTTTGAATTTAAACTTATAAAGAATCAGTAAGTGATAGAGTTGGGTTTGAAGCCAGAGATTGTTTATCTCATAAGCCTGCTAGTTTTCCTGGTAGCAGTCTATAAGAATGTCTGGTTTTGAAAATACTAAAGTGGAAGGTACCTTAAGAATATTTTCCTGTAACATTGTTACTATTCAGTGAAAAAACTGAGATGCTAGTAGAGAAAGAAGCTGTTTAAAAAGTCATGTAACTTTTATTAGCAGAGTCCTTACTAAACTAAACCTCCCAACAATAGACTATCTTTCTTTTTTCTTTTAGCCTTTGAATTTCAGTATGCTGGATTGTGGCATGAAGTATTTTTATTTCCATCAGAACTTTTTTCTATCACCCTTTTTTCTCTTCATACAAGTCTTGTTTCAGTGTCTCTGACTTATCTTTAGTAACCTTTGCTAGCTTATCCCAAGTAACTTTAAAAATGAAGATAAGCTTTGATTATAGCCATAGAAAGCTGAGCAAGGCTTCCTTTCTTCACTAGGCTTCCCTCTGAAAAGAATTCCAGTGAAGGGCAGATATAGTGAGTTAGGTTCTCAGACTGACTTCTGGGACAGTTTTGGCAGCCGTTCATGAAAGTGCTACCTTTGGAGCAAAGTAGCAGTAAAGACAGCTGAGTTTCTGAGAGTGACCTCATTACAACCAGGGCATGGTTAAGTGTTACTAACATAGGATTAGAAAAAGTCTAACTTAGAGTGTCAGAAACAAGTTACTTATCAGCAATGCAAAGAAGCAAATTTCAGAAATCAGCCCAAGCTCTAGGAAAAACTTGATATTCCATAGAAGTTAAAGACCCATCAAACTTCTTCAGACAAGAAGTGTTTATTCCATGGGAATAGACATGACAGGGCAAAGAGCCAACTGGAGTCCACATAAACACACTCACAGATCTAACCTCTAAAAGTCACCTGGGTGTTCTTGTGATTCCTCTGGAGCAGGAACTAACCTTGGTGAAAATTAATTTTCAAGTAGTTAGAAAGTTGGGTGTGGCTGCCTTAGGTGGTAATGCATGAACAGAGGACTATCACAGCTCCCAGCAGACCCTGAATGAGGCCAATGTCCCACCTTTTCTGTTTCCTGCTGACTCACTTCCCTTCGTCCCACCTGTCCCTCACAGGCTTTTGACTGTTCACACTGTGAACAGTAAGGAGAATTAGTGTGGAAAGTGTGGACTTGTTTTCAGAGTTCAGCAAAATTAGTCTCTGAAAAATGTTTCTAGAGAAAGTAAGCTGAAGGATGTGAGGTAGAGAAATAGTGTGAGTTAAGATAGTACCCTCATAATTATTTGGGAAATACTGTGTGATTCCTTTTTTCTTTTCCTAAGGGACATTCTTGATTTTATTTCCTTTTGACCTTGTGTTAAGAGATCACTCTTGTTGTTTGCTACCTTTTCTGGAGATTGGTCTGACCTACACCACTTCTGGAGTAGAGGCTTTACTTTGCTTGATTTGTTTTGTGTTAAGTATAAAGAGTGTGGAGGTCACTGTTCATACCTTCCTTGTTTGAACTGTGTGCTTTACACAGACTTTTCCTTCTTTTCTTTAACCAGATCCTTTGTATTCTAACTTTGAAATGAATGCTTTCAGCAGTAGGTCTTAGGAAAGGCCAGGTTTTAGTGAATAGCTAATTTTTAATGTCACCTTAGCTAAGGAGGTCAGAGAGAATTTTCACTACTTTACATAGTCCCCAATTAACATATTAATCATATTTTTCTTTTTTTTGTATTTAAAAATATTCAGCCACTTTCTAGAAATATTATGGAAATAAAATATCTCCTGTCACATAGTAGATAGTAAATTTTTCATGTAAAAATATTGTATTCCATTTTGGTATCGTCTAGAACAAAGGTTTTTTTTTCTCACTGGTAATGAGAATTTAAAACTTATTTAGTACAATGTAGAGATTTTTCTAGAGTCATATGACATTTAGGAAATGTTTATTTTCATCCAGTCATTCAGCAGATTCAATACTAAGTAATTAGTGACTCATTACTAATTACTCATTACATAATTGTTACTAGGTAACATTAATGAACAAGACACATAGCATCTACCAAGATGGATTCTGAGTCTATTATTTTTATAAATGCATTAAATATACCCCTAGTAATGATACTGACCACCATTTATTGCATGCTAGGTAATATTGAGCATTTTGAATGCATTAGTTCATATAATCCTTGTAATAACCCTATGGGGGAGAAAAAGGCATTATATAAATGCTTTTTGTAAATGATAAAACTTGCTAAGTGTCATTATCATCCAGGATACACCCGCACATTCTGATTCTAAATCTCTTCTAGTTTATCTTCTATTTGCCTTAAACCTTTGACATTAGAATTTAAGTTCCTTGTGTTAAAGTAAATATTTTTATAGTAGAATGTTATTAATTAGCATGAAAGACAAATGTCTGAAGACTCTTTAAATGTGTTTTTCTGTTCATACCCTTCTCAGGAGGAAACCCTGCACAAGTCAGGCAGCAGTAGCAGTGTGTCTCCCTCCTTCCTGGAGGACCCCTTACTGGAGGCTGCATCCGCTAGGAAGAGTGAGTATTTGTGGTACAAAGAACTAGCTCCAGATACCTTAAAAAACACACTTACCCTAGAATAGGGAGTTCAAAACTGTCTTGTGATTGTTTGGAGTAGATAGCTAAACCTGGAATTCACCCTTCGGGAACAGAAATAATCAGTTATTTTCCTAGAGTAACATCATAATGTAGACATAACCTGATAAATGGGCCTCAGACCTCAATAGTCACCTTTGGATTTACAGATCATAGCGAATGATACCCCTGTGTACTTTTGAAAGTAATTGCCTCTTTTTTCCTTGTCTGAATTTAAGCCAGAAGCACAAAGTAATCACTAATACACATGCACATATACATGTATACTTATATCCATCCCCACATATCTATGTAGGTTGTGAAAATACCTTTCTTACTTTTTGTGCAATGGGCTCTTAACACAGAACCTAAAGGTAACTGATTTATAAATGTTTTTAATGATTCTTTTCATTTATAAGACCTTTATAAAGGTTTAAAATTGTTATGTTAAGGGGGCAGATTCTAGGAATATGTCAGAGATGAAGCAGCTAAAATCTGTTTCCTTACCTAGACAACATTAACACTAGCAGAATATGTCTGATGTAATTATTTTGGAACTCTGGAGTCTGTTGAAGGCTTACAACTAGAGGAATACTTGGATAGTAAATTGTGGTGAATTTCAGTAATTTTTATCTATTAACACAGTGGCAGCCACTTGTCACCCAGCCTAACCACACTCAGCCTACCAGTGTACTTCTACTGATACAGCTTTTACATGGCTTTCAAAGGCCAGAGTGGGTGAAAAAAACCCTCTTCTTCAAATATTAGGAATCTGTGCTGAAGGCTGCTTGCTTCTAGTTCCAAAGGTGCAGACAGAGATAGACAACTTGTCGCATTGTTGCAAGCACCCATCTTCCAACTCCAACTGAAGGTGATATCCAGGGGATTTAAACGCCCACTAGATTTTACTTTTTCACCTGGAAAGTCAAGTATTAATGACTAAGACAATGAAAAACAACAGCATACACAAGAATATTAGAAAACCAACTGAAACCACCCACGATGCGGTAGAATAGGGAGGTTTGGTCAGTCCACTCTTCTAATAAACACAACTAAAAATAATAGTAACAGTAAAACTAAACTAAAATTTGCACCAAGAAAATTTCAAAAGTTTATCACCAGAGCACCAGAGATAGGAGTTTTTCACATAAATTTCACCCTGAGGTCAATGATTGGCTTTGGGGCCATCCCATGTTCATGGATTAGAAGACCTTTTGTTAGTTTTTTTTGTTTGATTGGTTGGTTTGGGGGTTTTTTGGGGTGGGGGGAACTATCAAAAAAAAATTTTCTAATTATACTTGGTGAATTTAATTTCACTCTTAAAAATCAATGGAAAGGTCAAACAAAACCAGTAAGGACACAGAAGATTTACATAACATTATCAGCTTGGCCCAAGTAACATTTATAGATAATGCTAGCCAACATTAGCAGACTACACATGTTCAAGAGCACACAAGACAACTTAGAAATATATCTAATATGTCTCAATAAATTTCTGAATTTTCCTTTTTATTTATTTATTTATTTACTTATTTTACAATGTTTGCTTTCTTTTCTCAGGTGTATACCCCATAGAATTTCCACTACCAATTCACCTGTGCACCATCACCATAGACCCTTGTATTCTTGCCCTGGTCTCTTTGCTTTCCCATTCCCTGCAGGATGTCTGATTTATACTTGTCTTTTTATTGTTGTTTGGTTTTATTGTATTTTACATTGTTGTTATTTTTTCCCCTTGGTCCTTCATATGATTCCCCTATGTTCCTCTATAAGTGAAGTCATCTGATATTTTTCTTTCTCCTTCTGACTTATTTCACTAAGCATGGGCCCTTCTAGTTCCATTCATGTTGCTGCAAATGGGATTATTTTATCTTTTTGATTGCTGCATAGTATACCATTGTGTATATATTCCACATCTTCTTAATTCAGTTACCTGTTTTTAGGCATTTGAGTTGTTTCCAGGGCTTGCCTATTATAAATAATGCTGCAATAAACATAGAGGGTGTATTCTTTTGAAATAATGTTTTTGTGTCCTTTGTGTAGCTCATAGGAGTGGAATTGCCAAGCCATATGGCAGCTCCATTTTTAATAGTTTTAGGAACCTCCAAACAGCTTTCCATAGTAGTTGGACCAGTTTGCATTCTCACTGCATTGTAGAAGAGTTCCTTTTTAACCAAGTCTTCACCAACATATGTTGTTGCAAGACTTTTTAATAGGTGCTATTCTTACTGATGTAAGGTGGTACCACATTGTGGTTTTGATTTGCATTTCCCTTACTATAAGGGATGTTAAACATTTTTTCATATGCTTTTGGCCATTTACAATTCCTTTTTGAATAAGTGCCTTAAGTTCTTCTGCCTATTTATTGACTCAATTGTTTGCTTTTGTTGAATCGTGTGAATTCTTTGTGTATTTTTGTGATCAGTGCAAAAATTTTGTACCAGTTGGTAGGGTGTCTCTTTGTTTTGGTTAATGTCTCTTTTGCCATACAGAAGAAGCTTTTCAGTTTGAAGTAGTCCCATGTGTTATCTTTTCCTTCACTTTCTCTGCTTTGGGAGGTGATTCTTTAAAGCTGTTGCTGAGATGTATGTCATGTAGTAGTCTACCTATATTTTCTTCTATGTATTTTATGGTTTTAGGTCTTGTGTTCAGTTCTTTTTTCCATTCTGAGTTGATTTTGGGGAGGGGGGGTTATTTATGGTGGTCCGGTTTAAATGTCAGTGCTTCCCAAAGTGATTTATAGAGTCCATGCAGTATCTATCAAAATGCCAATGACATTTTTTTTCATAAATAGGAGAAAAACCAAATCCTAAAATTCATAAAGAAACCATAATAGACAAAATAAAAATAGTTTTGAAAAAGAATAAACTAAAGAAGTCACACTTCTATAGTAATTAAAATGGTATGGTATCAGCATAACAAGACAGGCCAATAAAGCAGGATAGAGAATACTGAAATAAACTGTCACGTATATGGTGAAATAATTTTTGACAAATATGCTAAGATCATTCAGTGGGGAAAGAACAGCCTTTTTCAGTTAATATTGCTGGAAAAAACTGGATTTCCACAGGCACAAGAATGAAGTTGCACCCTTACCCAATACCATATATAAAAATTAATTCATAGTGGATCAAAGACCTAAATATAAAGCCTAAAATAATAAAACTCTTAGAAAGAAATATAAGACACAAGTTTTTTTTTGGCTATGATACCGAAGTCACCATAGCAAAAGAAAAAAATAGGCAAGTTGGAGTTATGGAAATTTAAGTGTTTTTGTGTCATCATGTAGCCAAGAGAAAAATATTTAGAAGTCATGTTGATAAGGGGTTAACAACCAAAATAGAGAGGGAAATCCTAAAATGCAACAACAACAAAAAAATGCAGTTCAAAAATGAGCAAAGATTTGAATAGACATTTCTCCAAAGAAGATACAATAAGCCAAACACATAAAAGTATTTTTAGCATCACTAATCATCAGGGAAACATATTAAAACTACAATTAGGTACAACCTCATACCTACTAGAAGAAAATGAAACAGGCCATTTTGTGGACCCTGGTCAGTGAAAGCTTCTGATGGAGTCCAGTGAGAATATACTCAGTTATCAGGAAAGTCATGATGAATTTTGCATAGAAAAAATACATCATGATTTTTCCAACACCTCAATATATTAGAAAAAATGCATGGTGATGACTAGCAAGAGCTGGGTGCAACCGAGCCACCAACACCTGGTCAATGAAAGCTTCTGATGGAGTCCAGTGAGAATATACTCAGTTATCAGGAAAGTCATGATGAATTTTGCATAGAAAAAATACATCATGATTTTTCCAACACCTCAATATATTAGAAAAAATGCATGGTGATTCCTAGCTCTTGAGCTGTAAGATTTGTGTAGGTAATCTTGGAGACAGTGGTAACAAAATTAAATTAGAGCAAGCTTTTTGGCTCTATGGACCATTCCAAAGTGTGAGGTTGCTAGAAACCCTCCCAGCTTTGCTTTTATTGAATTTGAAGATAACTGAGATGCAGCCAGTACTGCCTGAAATCTGGATAGGGGAATACTGTGTGGCTGCATGTAAGAGTGGAACAGTCAGATGGTGAAAAGAGAAGTAGAAATTGTGGTCCACTTCCTACTTGGGGTTGATGCCTTAAGATGATGATTAGAGAAGGAGTCCTCTACATTTCCACAGGTCTTCAGATAGAGAAGCTTCTCTTGCAGCCACAGCAGGTCCTGTTCTAAAGATCAGAGAAGAGAGAGTCTACTGTTTTGGGAGAGAAATCACAAGCCATCCTGATCCTCCTCTAGTTCTCACTGCTGATCTAGGTGAAATAAAAAGAAATAGAAGACCAGTTTGCAAGAGGAGCGAACAGGAAATAGCTTCATTTGGCTGAGTATTTACAGAAAATTCAAGCTTTGTTTGATACATAGCTGGGTGCATTTTTAACTTGTTTTATCTGTTTACATGTGTTTCTCTCTTGGGATAGTAACACATAAAAGAAATAATTCTCCATGGTTTGGGATGGATCATATGAGACATACCATTTTCTGCAATGTGAGTGGAAATGGTAGGGTTATACTAAGTGAAGTAAGTCAGAACCATATATATGGTTTCACTTATATAGAGAAACTGAACAAAAGTTCAGAGGCAAATCTTGAAGGCTGACCATAGATCTGAGGGCATCCAGAGGAGGGCAGTGGAGGGGAAATCAGGTCAAAAGCAGGAGGGGAAGAGCACATTGGACTATGACTAAGGATGTGATGAGGTGGGAGCAAAGGGAAGAGGAGAATCTAGTAAAGGATTATTGGAGCTGTGGTGGTGGGTGTGGTGAAAATAACATACAACTGTAGAGGTGTAAACCTATACCCTTAAGACATTACTGTGATGTAAATCAACATTACCTCAATAATTTATAACAAAAAAAAAAATAGAGTTGTTACTTTGCCATGTTCCCTTAAGCAAAATTGAATGTACGTTGAACTTTATTTAGTCATACATAGACTAATAATAAACTGGTAAATTCTGCCTCGCTATAAAGTATGATTAATGTTATGGAAACACAACTGGGAAAAATTGAACCAAGTCTTCCTTTTTCCATAGCGAAGATATAGTTTGCAGCTGTAGTTGAACAGAAGCTACTGTGAACACAAGCCAGTAGGTAAAAATAGAAGCTATACCATTAAAGCTAGTTAGAGGGTCTTCTTATTTTAATTCCATCTAGTATAAAGACTGGGTATTGAATGCCCAATTGGTATAGAATACTAAGAAGTTTCAAGAAAAGTAGTTTACTTTTGTTTTCAGTCATAAGTTTTTTTGGTTTTTTTTTGTTTTTTTTTTTTTTGTGATTGCAGTATATCAGTAAATAGCTCTTTCTAACATTCTTTATTTGGAAATTTGAGACTATTCAAGATCTTGATCTGCCAGCTTAAGGGTACATTGTAGAACTGAACTTTTGAATCATTGTCCAAGGTGTTTTTCCATGCTGTCATTTTTAATATGTTTTGTGAGAAGCCTTGGTACTAAAGATTTGGTTACCAAAAAAAAAAAAGAAAAGAAAAGAAAAGAAGTTGGCAAGGATATAAAGAAATTGGAACCCTTGTAGTCTGTTGGTGGGAATGTAAAATGGAACAGGTGTTGGGGAAAAGTTACTTCAAAAGTTTTAAAAATAGATTAACCATATGGCCTGGTAATCCCACTTCTGTATATGTACCTAGAGAGAATAGAAGCAAAATCTTGAAGAAATAATCTTGATACCTATGTTCACAGTGGTGTCGTTCCCAATAAAATGTGGAAGCAGCCCAAACATCCCTCAGTGAATGAATGGAGAAGCAAAATGTTTTTCTGAATATAAAATACTTGACATATTTTTCCAAAAGTAAACTATTACTCAACCTTAAAGGTGAGGGAACTTCTACGTTAGGCTACAATGCAGATGAACTTTGAGTTAATTATTATGCCATGTGAGGTGGTCACAAAAAAGCAGGTGTTGTGTGATTCCATTTATATAAGCACTTAGGGTTAAAATCATAGAAACAGAAAATAGAATAATTGCTAGGGATTAGGGCAAAGAAAAATGGGTAGTAATATTTAATGGAACTAGAGTTTCAATTTTACAGAATAAAAAGACTTATGATGATGAAGGGCATTAATTGTTGCACAGCAATGTAAATAGCTAACACCACTGAGCTGTCTATTTAAAATGGTTAAAGTGGTAAATATTATATTTTACTAAATAAAAAAATACTTACCAAAAGGGAAAAAACTTATATACTAAGATAATCTTAGAACACTGACCTGTCACCTATTTACTTGAAGTCTTGGTAATTCAAATTCTTTTAGTATTTTGATTTATTTAATTGATTATATCAATACAGTGAGAACTGACCTTGGTTATTATCTGCAATTGGTGTTTGGCCAGGTTTTTAAATATGGCAGAGACCCAATCAAATCATATAATGGATTTCTGTGTATGTTTGTAATTGTAGCAATGACTTCATTTTCCTTCACTGATTTCCCTGTGGTAGTACAGTCCCATATAGATGAATCACATTTAACTTGTGTTAGTTTTGACTTTTTCCACCTACTATATTCTAGCAGAGAGAGTAGGTGGAACTACCAAGTAAAGTTCTGACAGCATACCATACTTTATCTCTAATATTCTCCTTGTGTTTTTAAAATGTGAGTGCAGAGCTATTCAAATTCCAAAATATTCTTTTAAAATCCCTGCCCCAGGGCCCTCCCTGGTGGCACAGCAGTTTAAAGCACAGCACTAAAAAGCTAAAGCCACTTCAGCATGATTTCCACCCCCACCCCAAAGGTGATCCACATGGCACAGCAGACCTCTCCTGACCCGCCCACTGCTTCCCTCAGCAGTGTACTTCGTCAGTCTGCCTGTTGTTCTCCCCACTCTGTCTATGGTGAAGCTTCTCACCGCCCCTGCACCTCCAGCCTATACTCCAGTTCTGTATACATAAATAAATAAATCTTTCAAAAAATTAAAAAAAAAAACCCTGCCCCAGCTTATTAATAGGCAGAGGAGAGAGTGGTACAATGTTAACATCATAGCTGGAAATTCACTTTTTGATAAATACAGTTTGTTTTAAACCTAAGGATAAAATGTCTTTGTGTAAGTATGAAGAAGGAAGAATTTTCAACTTTAATCTCTAAAAAAAGACTATAAAAGGCACTAGGAAAATAAATGTCAATGTATTTGTATTTGAATCCACACTTTCTAGTAGTGAAAAAGGTGATTACAAGTGTTTTGGGAGATGTGGAGAAATTGGAGTATTTCTCCACATTGCTGGTCGGGATGTAAATTGATGTAGCCAACATTTTTTTTAAATGATTGCTTTACTTTTTTACTTCATGCATTATCTGTATTGAATTCTTTATAGTAAGTATATATTACTTTTATTATTTTTAAGATAGTTTTAAATTAAAATGAAGTTAAATAATTAATAAAGATATTCAAACATAAAAAAGAAAAAGACTACAAAGGAGGCTATATTTGAGAATTTTGGTATGATTTAGGATTGCTACATATTCTTATAATATTACATGAGACTTTTATTGAAAAATTCTGAGGAAAGTAGCATGAGGGCATTTATCTGTACAAATATGAGACAGACTGTATTTATATTGTCTTTTATGTGACAATTTGAATGGATGTTAAAAACACAGAATATTTTCCATTTTCCTTGCTATTTCTATACTTGCAGAGATAATTCTGTAACAGTCCTTAACAGTCTTATCCTAAGAACTTCCAATCTAATGAAATAAATACTTCATTCTTAAATGTAGTGTTTGTCACAAATAACAAATGCCTTTTCTATTAGAAATTCAACATGCAAGATTTTTATGTTGTAAGAAGGTGTATTTGAATTTGGCTAATTTCATTTCTTTAGAACCTCCAAAATTCTTGCCAATCTCATCAACACCCCAGCCAGAGAGACGGCAGCCACCACAGAGACGACATTCCATTGAAAAGGAAACACCTACTAATGTGAGACAGTTTCTGCCACCATCCAAGCAAAACTCCCGATCACTTGTAAGTAACAGAAAAATTGTGCAATAACATAATTAGCTTTCTTGGGGCAATGATTAGGAAAAATTTTTTCCAAAGGTTAAAATGAACTTTTAATAACCTCATTCGTTTCTTTCTGATAAAGAAAACCAACTCTAAAAGTGACATAATGAAATTTAATCATTCTTTATTCATTTAAAGTACTTTTTTATTGTAGAAATTTTAGCAATGGTTAATGTGGATTATTTCTGTCTTCCTTTCAAAAGTCCAGGGGATTACAACTGAGATGAAAAAATGTACAGAATGAAGAATGATGTAAATATATATAGATAGATATAGATATAGACGTATAGATATCTATATATCTATCTATATATATAATAGGTATTAATGTACTTGGTGGTAATACTAATTTCAAAAACTTGGCACATCTTACTGTTTTATTGAAGGAGAAAAGCAAATGGAGAATTTTGAACCATTAAACCATTCTACATTGTTTTCAGGTGTGCTTTGTGATATGGGGGCCAAAACCACTATTTGGACTGGTTAATAGTTTTTGCTATTTTCCAGAGACTTCCAGATTCATGTACTGGCTACTCATTTCTCAGGACAGTGGGATGTAGTACACAAGGCCCTGCCAGGAAGAAGTAATAGGTCCACCAGCCAAGGAGTTCTGAAAAGAATCTTTGTAGTCTCACTTGGCTTCAGAAATATTTGCAAGCAATATGCAAGACCTCAGTCAGTAATGCCACCAACTGAATAATGTTTTTGCAGATGCTCATGAATAAGAAGCCCTAGAATATGTTTAGTCCATAGTTTTATGCTATGATCAGTCATCAAGGGTTCAAGTAAAGCAATAACAAGATGTCATCCCCTCAAGCTGGAGATTCTAAATTATGGAGGTACTGAGTTACAGAACTTTCAGTATTCAAATTTGGTCGGTCATCTCTATTTCAAATAATATAAATAAAGTACTAATGATTTTATGGCAGTTCCTCATAGGATTCCTTACAACACCTAAAATAATCACCCAGATACTTACATGTGATTAAAGGTAGCCTCATCAGTGATTGGTCAGCAGAAAACCAACTTCAATCCAGACGTGTTCAAACTTTAAAATCCGAAGACTTCTTGTTAATGTGAATTGAGTTATTGCTTTGCAACATAGTTTTTATCAGAATGCTAACATGTGTAAGAGAAAACTCTTGTGATTTTTTTTTTCACAATTTCAGTAATTTAGGAAGCAGTTCTCTCTACACAACTTTTCCTAAAAGCCAGTTTATTATTTAACTATGTTCTTGGCTTTGTGGTCATAGGAGCTGTCAGATGAACTATAAAGAAATTAATTGTAGCTGGTAGTAGAAGTTTGCCTATAAAACACCATCAGCCCTCATCAAGGACCCATAAAGTATATTTCCTGGTCAAGCTGTGAGTTTTTTGTAGAGGAGAACAAGACAAACTAATCTACAGTCAAGAGAAAGGTACTAGTAAAAAGACAGTATGAGAGCCCCTCTGGTCAGCATTGAATGGCTTTGTGGATTTATGCTTTCTTGAAATTCCTCATGCCAGGCTGAGCCAGAATCATCCTAGTCTAAGTAATGACTTTTCTTGCTAGTTACTTACCTTGTAAAATCAAAAATATCACACTTATCTTGTGATAATGTCCTCTTGTTTGGTAAGCATTATTGTTGTTAAGTATGATAATTAAAAAATTTTAACTATCTTTTAGATAAAATCCATCGTTTTATGTTTATACCCCTCCACTGAAAATGGTAGAAATGTATTTGTTATTCATTGTCACTTTTATTTTGTTTCCCTTTCTTTCTTTAGGATGTTTAAAATCTAATTTGTTTTCGTTATTTCATCAAATGAATGAAGGTCATTGCCCATCTAAGTGTGAAAGGAGACTTGTCTGTACCTTTCCCTACCTTCTGGGGAGTGAAGTCCAAGCAGTTGCTTGGTATTTATTTCCACAGTTGCCTGAAGTTCCATTTAGGAGACTTGGTTGTTCGCAGGGCAACCAAGTTAGAAAGTCTTAAGTCTTTTCTGTGTGAATTCTGGGATACTCTAGGAATAACTTCATGGTTTAATTACTGATTTATACATATGGATGCAGATGTTGGCATGGACACTCAGAGAATCTGCCATGTCCTTCAAGGTGTTTTTGTTTTTTCTTTTATGTTCTGTAATCATTGTTGGTCGTTCATGTTCAGAGTTATTTTCTCCTTTTCTTTTCCCCATGCCATTTTCTTTTTTCCTTATCTATTGTTCAGGTTCCTAGGATAACCAGTGTATGGCCAAGGACACCTTTTCGACCACTTTTTTCTACCATACAAACAGCTTCTCTGCTCAGCTCTCATCCTTTTGAAGCAGCCATGTTTGGGGTAGCAGGGGCTATGTATTATCTCTGTGAAAGAGCTTTTACCAGCAGGTGGAAATCTTCAAAGGTTGGCGTCTTTCTGCTGGTTCTGGGAATTATTTCACTCTGTTCCTTTGACAGTGATACCTCAACTACTGCACTCTGCAAGAATTAACAGCTTAGATGAGCACTTTGCTTTCTGATTGTTGATTCCAATCTTTGGTAGGATGCATAGATCACACCATGATCTCAATTGAGAGGAAAATTACTTTGAAAGGACAACAAACTCAAAATGCAGCATCAGATTAGAGGGATCTGTGTTTGTTTCTTTGAGTGACCTCAAACAGGAGGAATATTCTCTCCCTCTCCATGTACAGGGGAATTCTGAGTGCCCATGGATGCTTTCTTCCCAGGACCTCCCTGCCATCAGAAGAGCATTTGCTTGTTCATTCAGCTGGCAGAGCAGCCTCCTGCCTGGCCAGATAGACACAGGAGACTGCAATCCACCTAACCTTCCCACTTCCCATTTCCCTGCACATCCTGCCCAAGCTCCGGTGGGCAATCCATAATCTCCCCGGTGCTCAGAAAATAATTGTTTTCATAGCATCTTTCTTAAAGCTATATTGTGATGTCAGGCTTTTATATGGTTTTATGACAACCCATCTCTGTGTAGAGAAATTTTTCAGCAACAAAACAAAGATTTAATGTGTAAAACAATATGTAGAGAGAAAATCTGTTTTCCACTGATATGTTACTCAGAACATTTTAAATAGTTGAGCATTTTACTTGTCTTGAGGTTTCATGTAGAATATATTTTTTTGAAGAAGGAACTATAACTTCTAAATTTCAGTGAAATAAGAGCTCCTCAGACCATAATGAAGCTTCCCTTGCACCCACTAAGATGCAGTGACCACCTTGCCTATTGTGACTCATGCAGGATACTGGCTTTCCAGGTCCTCACTACCCTTAAACATTCTTGACAAATGAATTTAACTTGAAACCAGCAGATAGTTTTCTTAATACTCTTTATTAACCTATCATGGTTTAGAAAAGAGACTCATAATATAAATGAAATACAGATTCTTTTGTTTGTCATGAAATACAGGATAAATCTCTGTTCTTTTTCCCATTTTAGATAAGGCCACTTGGGTAGTACTTAAGCAGGTTTCACCTTCGTCACTCCTGCAGCTGCCTCTGCAGATCTGCCTACACTTTTATTTTTATTACCAGTCTTCCCCAAACAGATATTTGTATACTAACTTCACAGACTACTTTAGGCAAAGAATTCATTTTGAGTTTTAAAGTTGAACTTGAAAAAAAGAGAAGAATTAATTAACAGTTGTAATTTTTATTTACAGTTGCATTTCTTTGGTTTCTTACTCGAAAGACAATGGTTTTAGATAATTTTCAAATATCTGCTATTTGTTTGTTTGTTTGTTTGTTTTGCTAGCCAAGAACATTGTAGAGTAAGTTCTAAAGGAATATCTGCTTCTATATATTGTAACCTTTTTTAAAACTTTTAAGAACTTTAACCTCTCCTAAATTTTGGAGTCACATTGAAACAAGTGACTGCACAAGAATTAGAGTTGTGTTCTTTAGTTCTCAGGTTTGCATCTAGCCATGAGCATGAGCTTTGGTGCTTTTTTACATTTGGAGCATTAGGATCTCAGCAAGACTTACTAAGTTTTAATTTGACCTGGGGGGTGTTCAATTACTACATTTTGGCAATTGAAAAAAAAAAAACTAACATAGCAATTATCATTTTCCTTCATGTTGCATTAAAGTTTTGTTGTCCTTGTGAAGATTCCAGAATTAAAACATTAGCATTTGACCTGATGGACATAATTTTACAAAAGGGTAAATCTTGAAAATTAAAAGCAGAACAGGAAGCAAACAAAAAAAATCTACAGTTTATTATTTGCAGTACAGTACTAAATTTGTGCTTAATTCAAGCAGTAAGTTGAAAGTACGGTTAACTAAGCCCCTCTGGGATTTAAGACTAAGAAGACAGTACAGGCACAGATGTGCAAGCACAGTGCTATGAATGAAAGGATTCCTGTCTACCCGAAGTGTTTACCAACCAGACATCCTAGTTGTAAAGTTAATTAAACTGACACTATTTGCCATCTTCCTGGCATGTAGAACAACAAGTCTCAAGTAGTTATTATCTGGTCACTTGCTAGATCCTTATCTTATTTTGTTTCAGTTCAGCAATTATGTCAGATAGTTAGCCATTAAGAAATGTACCAGTCACACATGCCACTTTTGAAGAAAAACACTTAAGAAAAGTTACTAAAAATGTTAAAAGCTGAGGAAAGCCATCATTCTGTGTGTGTAACCAGTAAAACTTAGCACACAATTTAATGGTGTAAACTTCAAAAAAGGCACTCAGTGCTTTATTCCCACTTGATGTTATGCTCTTTTCTCTGGGTGGAGCAAACAGAGTAGGTATTGGACCTACCAATTTAATCTTATTATCTACAAAAGAAAATTACTTAGAAAGTATGTTAGTCATCTTAGAGTAAATGATACAACTTTTCTGAAAAAAACAATCCTTATGCCACTAAATATGAAGCTCTCTTAAAAATTCAATTGTATGATTTTTTTCCCAACTCACTTTAAAGCAAGTTAGCATGAACAGAAATTTTGTATTGATAGTAAGAAATTCTTCAAACTACTTTTTTTAGTAAATGCTAATGTTTGTTAAGTTTGCAACCCAGATTTGTTTTTGTTTTTCTCTGATTGAAAGACAGAACTGAATGTTAAAATTCCATAAAGTGACTGCATTTGTGGTCATGTGCTTTCTCATTTGGCTTGTTTGATTCCAGAATGACTGTGAGCAGTGCTATTATGTATGTGTGGGAACGAATTATAATGTGTTTGTACTGAGAACATTGAGTTTCAGTGTCACTACATCACAATGGTCCTTGTGAAGCCTGGCAGGGTGCAAATGCACAAGCCTGTTCTGTCTTTCTATTAGATCCACCAATCAAGCGCAGGGCTGGATGGGGAGCAGATGGGTGTGAGGCTCTTTATTCAGTGGGTTCAGTTACATCAACATCTTCCTCAGCTGTTTTCAGGGAAACCATTAACATAAGACAGCCAACATAAATATTTATTGTGAAATTCTTTTTAGTTTTTTCACATTTTCTAGTGCTGACTCTGCATTCAATTGTTGAAAAGGAGTAACAAATCTGGAGAACTGCAGGGCAGTCTGTAGAGTCTGCCTTTGGCTGTCTACTGCACCAGTAATTACATGTTCTGTTCCATTCATACCATTAGGATTTTTCAAGGTATGCTGATGTAACTAACCACTAAATAATGCATCTCAGTATAAGTTGCTAACCACCTTCTTTTGGCTATTCTGGGAACCACACACCAGTTTTTAAAATGTCAGTGTAAATTTTCTACTTATTTATTAGCATATAATAAGTAACATTAAATAATGCCTTTGTATAATCATAGGAGAAAACGGACATAAATTTGGTTTAGAATGACAATATTTTCAGGATTTTGCTGCATTGATATAATAGAGCAGATAATTACTTGAGAGGAAATGTCTAAACAAATGTGAGAAAGTTTCATGTATTGAAATTACCCTGCAATGGTTCACATGATCCCCAGAAGTTTTCTACCATCTACTGTCTTAATGTAATTAAAAATTGTGGTCCCCAGAGTGAGCCAGCTCTGTTCCAGTATTCATTGAGAAACCCATTTCTTCTCTGAAGCTACTAACCAGGTGTCTGATCTGAAGGGAAACTTTAGTGTCAGAAAAGGGGGTGGAAGCTTCCTATTCATGTGAAAATTTGAATTGCAGGAGGAGTTCTGCTATCCAGTGGAGTGTCTAGCTCTAACCGTGGAGGAAGTGATGCATATTCGCCAGGTCCTGGTGAAGGCAGAGCTGGAAAAATATCAGCAGTATAAAGATGTCTACACTGCCCTGAAAAAAGGAAAGGTAGAGCTGTTTCAAGTTGACCTACTGGCAGGGTTAAAAGAAAGGCCAGTCACAGGCATGATCTCCTGCGGGACCTGCCTGCAACCAGGTGGCAAAGGGCTTACATGGAAATTTGGTTGGTTAAGAGGCTTATTCTCCAGTAAACATCCTCCCCTGCTCAGAAAAGGGGTATTTTTATTTAAATTTAAATGGCATGACTTCATAAAACCATGTCTGCATTCAGTCATACTTTTAGAAGTTTTGTAAAGAAACTATATCTGAGAAACATTAGAGACTTTTAGAACTTTCTTCAGATTGCTTCTTTAATGGTGAGACTCTTGAGAGCTCCTTTTATTACCTTTGAAAAGTAGAAATATAATTAATTACAGAGCCAATAATAGGCACAAAGCCAAACAAAAAATAGGGTTTCTGAATTCTTTTCTTCCTTCTGTCTACTAAACTTCCCCAGTATATAAAGCATATTCAGCCATGGAAATTAGGAAATTAACTATTAGCAATGCCTTTTTTCCTTTTGATTTTGTGGTTTTTTTTTAGCTCTGCTTCTGTTGCCGAACTAGGAGATTTTCCTTCTTCACCTGGTCTTATACCTGTCAGTTCTGTAAGAGGTAAGGTTTGAGTTTGTAATTGATGAAAAGAAAGGTTTAAGGAAATACCATTTACCATCGTTGTTTTATTTTTCTACACATGAACAATATTTTAAAAACCCAGTTTGTAATCACATTGTGCTGCGCTTTGTTAGGAGTACTGATTTCTTCAAGAGTGGCACAACAATTATTAACCAATATTAAACATGTTTCTCTTCAGATATTTCTTTTACATAACCAAGATAATTCTAATAATGCCATGATTTTAGAGAAATAAGTAGATGTCCTTATTACATGATTTATACATAAATAAAAAAACTTTGAACAGCTGTATAGTGATCCTTTTATAAGAAACTGGAGTTAGGTTTAACAGTTTGACTGCCTTTACCATTGTATTGACGTGTTATATTCTGATAAAAGAACAAGAGTTTTTACAATTTATTGTAGAGATTGACAACCATATAGCCTTTCGTCTCTAACTCTCCAGTTGTATCCATGGTGTCATGTTAACTAATTCTTTTGATTTTGTGTACAGGCCAGTGTGCTCACAGTGTTGCAAAAAGGTAAGCTAAGCTTGGTGAAATTATAACTGCTAGTTTTTTGTTTTTTAAGATTTATTTATTTATGCTTATAGGCCAGAGGTGTGGTGGATCAGAGAGGATTCACCAGAGACAGAGTGGGGAGCAGAACAGGCAGATACACTGAAATACACTGCTGAGGGGAGCAGCAGTCAGGAGAGGTCTGCCACGGCATGTGGGTCCACTCCCTGGCGGGGAATTGAACTTATGCTGCAGGGGCTTTTGAAAGCTTCATAGTGTGGTGCTGTAACCCGTTGCAGCACCAGGGAGAGCCCTATAACTCTTAGTTTTAATAACTGTGCCTTTTTAACAGTACTGCTCATTCTGTTTTATTTGGTATTAATAGATGCGCCTACCCTCCAAGCCATATTGTACTCTTCCTATCTTTTCACTGGGACCTTCTACCTTACAAAGAGGGGAAAGTTGTTTGAGGCCAGAAAAACCTTCTACTAGCCATCATCGGCCCCTTCGGAGCATTGCTAGGTGAGTGAGGGGCCTAGGTCTTCAGCAGCTCCTTTGTAAAAAAAAGAATGCTTTTTTTATTTGAAGACTGTGGTAAGGTGATGGGGTTTTGGCTCAAGGAGGATAGGGAGGGAGGAGTGTTGACTGGTTTTAATTTAGTTGTGATTGCACACAAATTTCCAAAGCTCCCCTAAAGGTAAGGGCTAATGACTACCTGCCTCAAAAATACCTTAATCTCACTTTATTTTTTTCTGCTTTAGAAATTATCTTATTGCACATTTAAAAAATCTTTACACTGATCTTGTTTTCAGTGAATTTGATTTGGAAACTTGCACCTAACAGGACAATCCTTCCTTCCTTACTTAGTTTTAAAGGAAAATCTATTTAATCCTGGGTTTATAGCAGTCTGCAATAAACCTTGTTTATTATAAAGGCAGAAATAAAGCTTTATGTAAGGAGCTAGCAATTTCAAAGAAAAGAAATTGTCCAAATATCAGACCCTTTGCACTTAATTCAGAGTAAGGTTAGTGCTAAGAAAGATAGAAGGGATATCAGCTGGAGTTGCAAGTTGGCATGGCCAGGTGGATTGAGGTTCTTATATACTAGTCACCACCTCTCAGCAGGGGACACTGGCATTGTTGCCAGTTGCTATTTATTGGCTACTTCTGCTTTGTCACCAGTTGCTATTTATTGGCTACTTCATGGCTTTATAGATAGTGAGGCAAAACAGCCCTGAACCTAGCAAGTAACTTGTGACTGAGACTTGGCTGCTTCTGCGCTTTTGACTCTACTCGCAGATACTACTGTTCAGTGATGGCCTCTGATGATGGGCTATCATCTGGGAATTTAAGGCTCTTCATTTGTAATTGCCTGTTCTTTTCTGTATTTATTCTGAACCTGTCTTCCTGTTTGGTTTAGCTAAAATAGTAAATGAAATTTACGAAATTTCCTAAAACACTTACTATAATGGTGGTCTGGTTAATTCTAGCTCTCTGGAAGCCAAATAGCCAGTTACCCAAATATGGAGAACTGTTGGGGAGGGCAGGACATACTTAATAAATACTAAATGGCAAAGATAATATTTCAGGATATGTCATAGGATTAAGGTAAATTTGCACAATTTTCCTATTGTCTGACCCACCATCTACATAGTGCACATGTCACAGAGTCTCTGGAGAAAGAACTTTAAGTCCTTGCTGAATCATCAGCAGGATGTTCTCAACATGTACTTTATTTCATTTTAGTTGCTACCTTACAGCATCTATATCTGTATGGTAATTGGGCAAATATGCTGAATATCATGTTTCCCAAAAAATTCTAGAAGAAATGATCAGAGTTTTTAGTATTATTATTTCTTAATAAAGTATTTCCTGGTTTCCTTATTTATAATAGGAAATTATTCTTTGGAAGAACCTGATGTAGTTAAATCACTCCCCATTCCATAAAATTGGCAACAAATTTACCCTTTTTGCATATAGTTTCTTAGTATTTTGGTAAAACGATGACAATTCTTAACGTTTCTATTCCCCCCCACCCCCACAGGTTTTCCTCAAAATCTAAGTCTGTGGACAAATCAGATGAAGAACTACAATTTCCCAAAGAGTTAATGGAGGACTGGAGTGCAATGGAGGTCTGTGTAGACTGCAAAAAATTTATTTCGGAAATCATCAGTTCAAGCCGGCGTAGCCTGGTGTTGGCCAACAAAAGAGCACGATTAAAAAGGAAGACCCAGTCTTTCTATATGTCCTCAGCAGGCCCCTCGGAGTACTGCCCTTCAGAGCGGACTATCAATGAAATCTGAGCCTGTGCCTTTTGGTTGCTTTTGTGTTCAGAGTCAGGTTTAATGCAGGAGAACACTGAGCTGGACTATCTTTCCTGGCCGTGGATTTAGTTGATAGGCTTGAATTTGCATTAGACCAGGCTTGTTTTGCAACACATTGTTCCACAGACTGAATGCTGTGTTCATATCGATTGCTGAGACGTGACCAGTCAGCTAGTAGCTCCTTTGCACTGAGAGGACATCAGTCTGAAACTTGCTTTTGTGTGTATGTGGATTTGGAGACCAGAAACTTTTTCCTTGGTTCCTTACTGTCCCTCAAATAATTTTTTGACAAGAAAAAAAGCTTCTCATGAGAGAAATGAGCCTAACACAGGTGTCGATGTTAGCACAGTTCTAAGCAGTAAGTCATATTGGCACTTCCACATGACAGTGTTCCTAGCTAATGTACATAGTGAGCAGAGCCCTGCCGGGCCCTAATACCTGCAGGTGGGGCAGAGCTGTTTATCATCTCATAGCACAGAATCTAGAAGGATTTGCTACTACTGTCAAACTGATTTTAAATTAGTGTTGCTCTGAGATAAAGAACCCAGGAGGGACTTCACACCTATATTCTAGCACATGTGAATAAGCTGTACGCCCAAGTGGGTGACCTTTTCTAGTGAGCTGCTTTGTTTGCCCCAGTGCAGAGGAGCACTACTCTCCTGAGCAGGTGACAGGCTTTCATTCCCTCTCTTGAATGTACTGTGGTTCCAGTAGTTTTATAATGGAAAAAACTAACAATGTTTTGTGAGAGTTTCAGGTCAAAGGAAAGTTAAAAGCTCATCCAGAAGCTGAGTGTAATTTGGTTGACTATGAAAAGGGCTGTGACAGCATTGGGTGCCAGCTGTTGGCCACAGTGTGGAGAGTGAGCTGGCGCTCATACATTTTCACCAACATTTTTCATAACTTTCTAATCTAGTCATCTCAATTAAATTAAGCCACAATTTGGTACTTAAGATCTCAAACTGAAATTTATTTATTTTTATAAATGAATTTTAAAAAGAGAACCATTGTCTAGTTCTTTTTAAATTACAAGAAAACTTAACCTGCTGATAGGATGCTTTTTGCACATAGCTTTCCTTGCAAATGACTTAAGTGAGTAAATGGGCTTTTGATGAAGGGAAGGTTAGAGAATAGCAATGCGTACCTGAAATTTCTCAGCTCATTGGCCCATACTATGAGCTGTATCTTATTATTTTAGTAGCTTTGAAGTGACCAACCAATCAAATTGCTATTAGTATTTGGGATATTAGTTAATGTTTATGCACAATGATTTCCTGAAAACTATAGGACATATCTGTAGTCAACACTACAACAGCACCATTTAATAAAAGGCATGGCAGTCACATTTCACACCACATCAAAAACATTTCTATATAAAATTAACAAAAATACCTCAGAACTGCTCTGGTAGTAGTTTTTAATGGATTGAAATTTACAATTTAGTAAATGACTTAATATTACTTTTACTTGCGAAATAAACTTTGCCAATTGCCTAAAATAAATGCATGTTAACGGCTCGTCTGTATTTGCATGTAAAAGTGGGCCACCAGAGAACCTTTATTGATTATGCAGTATATTTAAATTATCTTAAAGATATTTTTGAGCGCTTTAAACAACATATTGGATGAATCTCCTTTATAAAGTTTTCCAAGGGACTATGAAAATTCTGTACTCCAAATGATTTGGTGGCAACAACACCCTTTAAAGAGACTAGGCTTGAGCCACTAAGCAGCAACCAGAAAGGGAGCAAGGGAGAGAAAATGGTATACCTATATACCTGACCTAGATAGTGTGCTTTTTATAATAATAACTAGTTTATTATTATTACAATAAAAGAAACAGAACCACTAGAATGAGAATTTCATTCACATTCACTTGCACATCTATCTTTAATATCTCTTCTTCAGATTTATGATGCTGTGTAGGCTGATCTGGGTGTTATGATCTCTTACCAAAACATTAGGGTGTAAAATCCTTCAACAGCAATAATGGGGTTTGCCAAGTACATTCAAGAGGTCTAATAGACAGTATGTCCACATGAGACAAGTCCCAGATAGGAGTGTGAGAAAGGGCATATAGCACAGTTAAAATTATAGAATTCAAATTAGCATCACTTTTGGTGCATTTAACCCTTACTTATCCGTGATATGTACCCAGCACTTCATCTAAGTTAGGTCATTTTCAGAGGTCAGTTCACTAACAGCTTATGGGGCATGGTTTTACAGTCCTTAGCCTTGTCTGACCTGAGGCCTACCTGCCTCTACTTACTACCAAACTGACTTTCCTTCACAGTATTCTCCTTTACCGTGGCTCCTGACTACTCAGTGTTTACTCCTGATCTAGCAGTGTTGTTGACTGGAGCCTGAAGTGTCCTGGAGCTTATGCACACCCCTGGGTATCGTCTTGCGCATCCCACTCCCTAGTTTCCTCCAGTCCCTAGAATCATTCCCTTGTCCCATACTTCATAAAGTCACCTGGCTGGGGGATCTTTGTTTCCCCTCCCTTAAGTGTCAGAGTAAATAAGAATGCTTGTAAATACTGTAATATATCTATTAATATTTGAAAGGCTTTCATTCAGTGGACAGTGGGAATTAACTCTCCCATGGCAAGTAAAAATTTAATCAAGTAAGTATATTGATTTAACAGTCTTACTAGCCTTTCACATTAAATGAGAAGGTTGTTACGTAGCTTTTAAACTTTGAGAGATTATGTGATTAGCACTGTAAACTCATACCATGAATTTTTTTTATGCTTTTATTTTTCTAACTGTATTAATAAACATAGAACTGGATTTTAGTGTCACACAAAAGACCTGAAAGTTTTAAATTATGTCATTATTTGCTAAATCGAAATAGCAGAAAAACTTGTACTTGCAAAACTGTTGAAGAGCCATGGAGAAATGTGTACTACTGACTGGACTTTAACCTACCTTCTGACGCGTAAAAAAGTCAAGGTATTGCTGGCATTCAGGGTGACGTAACGGTACTAAACATTTTCCATTGAGGTCTTTTATTTTAAAATTATCTAGGAAAAAATAAAATGGCTTTCCATTGTACCTTTTGTGTTGAATTCCTCTTATAAGATGGTATTGTCTTTTGGTATCAAGCTATTAAAAACCACGTAGGTTGAGAAGACAACATATTTTTATCATCAGCAAGTTATGATCACTTTGAGAACTAGCATCTGACAAGGACCACACTTGAAGAAGGAAAGTGGAGTCACCATTTAACTCTGCTGTGTTGCCAAGCAACTGTGATGCCTTTTTTAAATCTCAACAGAGTAGGAAATTCAAGTTCTATAAATAAGAATAACATTTTATTACATAAGTCATGTGTATGGAGACAAACTATATATAAGATAACACTTGTCTATATTTTTTCTAAATAGAGATCCTCAAAAGATAAATATATTTTTTTCATTCAGCAAACATTTATTAAATATTAGTTTTGATACAGAAAAAAACCATGGGAAGAGACACAATCCATGATCTTAGGGAACATATTTGTAAAGGAAATGGGAGGAAATAGAAGACACTAAAAACCAAGGTCATTCTAAAGAAATGTGGCAAAAGCAGGGAGGAGGCTGTAGCATTGCTAAAAGAACCCCAAAATGGCCTAGAGGTTTCTAGATGGCTTCCTGAAGGGAAGATGTGTTCTTGGACCTAATTCCTCTGGGTGTGGAGTGACTTCCCCCCACCAACAAGCATTTCTAGATACCAACAGGTTTTGATACTGTTCCACGGGTTAAGGGTTCATTCTCCCAAGACCACCCTCCTTGTTAGGTATTAGCTACAAACTCCAGGCTTCTGACCAGCCTGCTACAGACAGGAGGTTCCCACGACCCCATCCTCAGATCTCAGCTACCCATTGCAAGCCCAGATAATCTGTGTTTCTCATGGGCTGGCTGTCTTATCAGAGTTTCCCATGACCCCTCTTCAGGAAGTCAAGAGACCTGTTTAATCACTAGGTCACTATTATGTTATAAAGGAGATTAAAGATAGTTGAAGAAAAATAGGTGCTTCTGGCATCGTGGGGTTTGCAGCCCTCAAAAAAGCACATGGAAAGGCTGCTTTCCCAGCCTGGAAGCTCTCTCAAAGGACATGTTCTTAAAATAATACCATGAGGCCCTTCCTGATGGCGCAGCGGGTTAAAGCACAGCACTGAGAATCTGAAGCCGCTTCCGCATGAGTTCAATTCCAGCCTGCCCCGGAGGTGACCACATGGTGTGGCAGACCTCTCCTGACCCGCCCGCTGCTCCCCTCAGCAGTGTACTTCGTCGATCTGCCTGTTCTGTTCCCCACTCTGTCTCTGGTGAAGCCTCTCACCGCCCCTGAGCCTCTGGCCTGTACCCCAGCTCTGTATGCACAAATTAAATAAATAAATAATAATAATAATACCATAATAAGAACATTCCTTATATCCCTTAAAGGCTTAAGTAAAATTAGGAAGATTAAACCCATATTGAATTTAAGAGAGTTCTTGTGCTTTTAGAGTATCATTGACCCTTTGCACAGTTTACACATTGGTGATGGTTGAGTTTGACACTCAGCTAGTCCCTTATTTGCCAGATAGGATTTTGGGGTCTCCTTTTTGAAATGTTTCTTTTTGAGATACGTTTAACAAGGCGATGTGTGTGGCCTCATGGCCATTGACTTTCTAAGTCCAAGTCCTTGACCTGTGCCTCCTGAGCTACAGAAAATTCAGATACCATAAAGAGAATAAATCTTTGGGTAATCCTATTTTAAGAATATCTTTTTCTTTCCCAGCTCCCTTTGAGGAAACAAAAAAGAAATCATATATCTATATAAATACATAGTTGTAAATCATCATAGTTAAGAATTTCATAAAGAAAATTACTTTTTGAAAGGACTTGATGCATTTATCATGTGTTTCAAGACTTCAATTCCGTGACCTCTGCAGAATGTGTGTGTACACATGCACCTAGGAACCTAGGAGTGTGTGTGCACACAGATTTCTTACAATACTCACAGAGGGTAAAGCTCCCTCTTCCCTCATGTCAAAAATGACCATCTAGAAACACCTTCCATTGTACACCCAAATAGTTTAAGATCAAAGAACTTATTAACTATGCCTACACTAAATGTTCTAGGGCAATTACTTAACAGGCTGAATATGCAGTTATTCTGGCTCATTCCACTAAACAAAGTATGTGAATATAATGTTTGTATTTAGAATAGATTCTGCTATGCAAAACATCCTGTAACCCTGTTTCCGCTGTTGGGTACTGAGGCTGGTGGCAAAATTGGACCCCTTGAACATCACTGAAGCAAAAAGAATTCAGAACTGACAGGACAAAGCTCTTGAAAAGTGGGGCATCAAGACAGGTCGCTAGAGCTTAAGAGCTAAATACTCATCTTAAAATTGAACCTCTGCTGTATTTGCCCAACTCAGTGCTAAGAATTCTTTTGTAATCCAGAGAGCTGACCCTGGGTCCTGAAATAGGTATGCTCTTACAAACTACACTACTGGATGTGGTCGCCTGTGAATTGAAGAAATAGGGGACCACTTTGTGGCTGTCAAGGAGCAAGTTTGCTCACTTGAAGTTTCTCCTTTTATACATTCATCTTTGCTTTGGTGTTCCTTTTTGACGGCAAGAACCATGTTTACTGCCCTAGTTCTTCCCATCCTGGTCCCTGTTAAGGGTGACAGCAACAGAGAACATCACATCCCAACAGAGTTTAAGAGATTGGAAATTTCAAGAGGAACTAACGTTAACTGACGCTAACCCGACTACCAAGTTTCTAAGTAAATTAATGTGGGAAATAGAGAATTTTCAAGATTCTGACCAGAATGTCTGAACAAGGTAGCTATTAATAGTAGCTACTTCTGCTTTTAGGAGGAAGGACTTTTGATGGTAGACACCTCAAGTTGAAAAAAAGGCCCAAGTTTTTGTCCACAAAGAAGGGAATGTGACTTATGATAAAAAGCCCCTAGCTACCCTACCACAATGTCAAGGTTGTTTTAGAACTCAGATGCACAGGAAATAAGCTTGGACTAAACACTATGAATGTAACTGACTATGGAAGGTGGGCTGTTGCCTCAAAGGACAATGTCAGAGTGGGTTTTCACGTGTGTGCACAACTGCAAAACCATGCATGCTCAGGAAACAACATTTTAATGGAGTCTCTAAGGTAACAAGTGGCCAACTATCTTTTCTGATAGTCTCCACAGTATCCAGGAGTCCCAAACAAGGGGCCACTTGTTCAAGATGGCACTGTCCCATCATCGAGGGCCTGGAGCTCATGACAGCCATCAGACAGGCAACTGGGATCCAACTCATGGTAGAAGCTGGAGGTGCCCACAGGTGGGGTCACTGAGATGACACCACAGCAGCAGTGTGAAGGTCAGAATAGATACCACTGGACTCTAGATCGGACAGCAACAGAATTCGGAGGTAGTTCCAGATCATCAGAAGTGGTGAACAGCTCTCAAAGATGACCTGGATACAGAATACCGGTCACCAGTACTAGACAGCACTGGCCAGTAATACCTGTCACCACTGGTCACCAGGGGTCAGGGTCAGAGATGCCAGGTGACAGCTCTTTGTAAGTTGTCAATAAACCGCTCTTTGAGATGCCAGGCCCAGGGCCTTTGGTACTCCTTTCAGCAACGTCAGAGGCAGGGCCAGGGGCAGGTTCAGCAGCCCAGTCTGCATCGGTCTCTTCAGCTTCTTTTTTCCTTATAGGTCAGCTGCTGGCCCTTCCTTCTTCAGAGGCTAGGAACAGCGTTCCTGCCCTGCCTTATATCCTCTCTGGTCCCCCACCCTGCAAGCCTGATAGGACCATTTTCATTTCTAAGTGACTGATTGGACCATTAGCACAAATCAGCCCATCACTGATTTTTGATCAATGATTGGTTCATTTATCTCACACCTGATTGATCCATTTTATGATCCAGGCACCAAGTATAAAAAAGAAAACTCAATGCCTGCACAGGCCTGTTCTGCCCTGACCTCGGGGCAGAATCATGAGCTGGTGGGCTCCGAAGAGCCACAGCCAGAGCTGGCCTCAGTGGGGCCAGAGGCACTCTGCACCTAATAGCCTTTGTGCAAGGCCAGGTGTAACAACCTAGAAGAGGATGGGGGTGGCCTGCAACAGGGCTGTGGGGTAGGTTCTGCAGGGAACCACCAATATGGCCCAGGACTCCATGGGCCTCTTTACTTCCTGCAGCTGGCCCAGTGGGATCCCATGCTCCTTCCTGCAACCCAGGAACCCCCTATATATATGTTTGTGTGTGTGTATACATACATATATATATATATGTGTGTGTGTGTGTACATATATATATATATAGTCTCCCATTGTAAAAATGGATTCCCAGCCAAGAAGCTTTTCTCTGGCCCTCATTGCTGCCTTCACTGCCTGAGGTCTCTTCATCAAACATAACCTCTAACATTGAATTTTGAGCTGAAAGTGAACCAAGAAAATATTTGGACCACCCTCCAGCCAACTGGCTGTTTAAACATCCAGTAACAGGCAACAGGTTTAGTACCTGTGAAGTTCCATCTCTGAACAGGTCTGATATTTGGGAAGTTTAGCCCTTATGTAATTTTCTTCCATTATTCATGTCCTCCCCCCCTGGTTCTGCCTCATGTCTTTACACTCCCTTCCAAGGAGCTGCCTTAAATAGTCTCTTCTCATGTTCTCCTTCAACAATTCCTATTCCTCCCTACTTCCCTTCTGCATTTTCTTTTTCTCTGTTGGACTTGCACTTAACATTCTTCTACATTATTCCTTGAAGACAGGGAGCTTTGTCAGCTTTCTTTTGCTGCCATATCCCCAGTTTTGGAAGAATTTCTGACTTGTAGCAGGTGTTCAATAAACGGGGAAAATTGAATTAGCTGGTTCAATATGGAATGAGAGTGTAAGAAATAGCATCAAGATGTCTCTTTTTTAAAAAAAGATTTATTTATTTATGCATACAGAACTGAGGTGCAGGCCAGAGGGGCAGGGGTGGTGAGAGGATTCACCAGAGACAGAGTGGGGAGCGGAACAGGCAGATGGATGAAGTTCACTGCTGAGGGGAGCAGCAGGCGGGTCAGGGGAGGTCTGCTGTGCCATGTGGCTCAACTCTGGCATCGGGATCTCATTCGCACTGAGGTGGCTGCAGCCAGCTTGCAGTGCTGC